GGGTCCCAGCCAGCCCACCTGTGATTTAAAAAAAGGGGGAAGGCTGACGACCTGCACTCTGTTTTCCCACTTTTATTTTGACTCTTTAGAGGGACTGCTGAGACTTGCAGTCCACTGAAGACACCTGGGTATCAGTGGACAAGAAAGCAATGGAGAGTGTCTGCATGGACCATCGCCTCACAGAGGAATGCCTGGGCAGCCACACAACTGTAGTTAGGGTTAGGAAAAGGACTTGTTCATATTTTGGACTGTAATGTTGGAGTTTCTTCAGTAATGTTGCATTAACTGTTCTGACCTGGTCTGAAGTTATTCAAAGGGTACAGCTGGTATTGGTGTATTAAAAGAACCAGGGTCTGTAAAGCACATACGGGGTATGAAGTCACACTATATGAAGTTACATTCTATCAAAGAAGAGATTTAACTCAGCAAGTCAAAGAAGAGTAAAGTAATTACTAAGAGTAACCAAGTATAACTCCAAGACACAAAGCAACCAGTCATGAGGCGTGGTAATTGCTAAGGTACCAGGTCCTCGTTAGCAAAAGGGGGGGAGGGTCACTATTTGGCACCATCCCAAGCAGTCTGTCTCCCATAGCAGCTGAGAGAAGACCCGCGTTACATACTGGTCATGGACCACCTGGCCACAGGATATGGGAAGCTGAGGAGTAACTAGGGAAGACTGGTCAATAACCACCATTCTGAGGAGTTTACTACTTATTCTTACTGGGAGTGAGGTAACCGTGGTACGCTAGACTGATGGAATGGGCGCAGGCTCAGCCTGTCCCTCTTAAATGCAACAACTACTAAAAGCCCAGTGTGTATGATCCTGCCCACAATGGAGGAAGGCATTATAGCATAATTAAGCGCTCTTGTGTCTTCCAGAGATAACTTATGAGGGTTACCCTTCAGTGTGTCAAGGGTTTGTATCTACCATACTTTAGCTGGGTTGCCTGCAGAAGGGATGATGAGGCAGGGATGATGGTAAAAAAGGGCTCCCATGACTGCTGAAATTTCTAGGGTGCTCTGCTACCTGGTCATCGGAAAATGATGAGGCAGTTGAATGCCTGCTGCCGCTAACTTGCCCAAGCTGCTGTCCCATTGGAGTGGAAAACTCAGACTTTTTGTGGTCTGCCTTTGTACTTCTGTGATTTGGAAATTTAGGCTGGGAGGCTTAATCACAGCAGACATGGGTAAATATTGCTGCCCACTTTTATGCTGCAGTACTGATCTAGCCTCATCTACAACCCTAGAAATCATGGCATTTTGATATTTCTGCTCCAGTCCTGTCTGTAAGACACCCCCCAATCTCTGGCACACCCTTTGCAATCCTTCACTTCCCCTATGCTCCATCGCCTCACAGAGGAATGCCTGGGCAGCCACACAACTGTAGTTCTCTTTTACTTCCCCCTATGGACTTGTTCCTATTCCCTGTAATGTTGGAGTTTCTTTTCACCTAATGTTTTCACTGTTCTCCCCCCTGCCATGTCCACTGTTTTCTGGTTTTATGTTGTTTCCAAAGGTTTCCCAGGTGTGACGGAATGCCTGTCGCTCAGACTGGGTGTTCTGTCAGAGAACCACTTCCTCACCACTACGGGGACAGTCAGGACCAAGATATTATACAGTTGTGACAAAAATTATTTAACCCTCAATGCTGTAAAGGGGTTTAGGGACTATAGTGTACATTTGGAATTATTCAGAATCAAATCCTACAAGGACGTTGTAACTACCCAAATGCAACTAAAATGACATCAATTGTTTATGTAATACAGTAGTAAATGGTTCTTATGTGGTTTCTTCATTGCCACAATTATTCCACCCCTTAAAGACTACCACTCTGAAGAACAGGGTTCATACAGGTGCTTTCCATCAGGTATTGAAAACACCTGTGGATGTCACCATCCAGCAAGCAAGCATAATAAGCACCAATTAGGCAGCTTTAAAATGACTGTGATACTCAGAGCTCCTTCTAGACATTTACTGGTGTGGTTACAAACATGGTGAAGGCAAGAGGATGGTCCAGGAAGACAAGAGAAAGGATGATTTCTCTTCACAGGGGGCAATGGGTCTAAGAAGATTGCTATGTGCTTGGCCGGATCTCTGTGAAACGCTGCTTCTCTGTTACTGGGAGTGACTGTTGAAACGCTACCTGGTCGTGACAGAAAGAAGATGCTGACTCGACTGCTCGCTACCTGAAGCGTAGAGTGGAGAAAAGTCCCCGTGTGTATGCTGAGGAACTGAGAAAAGATTTGTCAGATGTGGGTACAGAAGTTTCAGCCCAGACAATAAGACGCACACTGCGTAATGAAGGCCTCCGTGCCAGAACTCCCAGGCGTACCCCCTTGCTGTCTCCAAAGAATAAGAAGAGTCGACTGCAGTATGCCAAAAGCCATGTGGAAAAACCACAAAAGTTGTGGGATAGTGTTCTGTGGACTGATGAAACAAAATTAGAACTGTTTGGGCCCATGGATCAACGCTATGTTTGGAGGAGGAAGAACAAGGCCTATGATGAAAAAAACACCTTGCCTACTGTGAAGCATGGTGGAGGGTCAATCATGCTTTGGGGCTGTTTTGCTTCTGGTACAGGGAAGCTTCAGCGTGTGCAAGGTACCATGAATTCTCTTCAGTACCAGGAGATATTGGATGGCTGTGTGATGCAGTCCGTCACACCTGAGACATGGGAGGTTGGAGACCTTTATTGCTGATCCCCCATTTACATTTTGGAGTGGCCATGACTTAAATCCGATTGTGAAACCTTTGCAGTACTGATCTAGCATACCTCAGGACAATCTACTAACATGGTTGCAGAGGAAAGGCTGGCATTTTTGGATTGGCCATGCAGTCACAAGACCGATTGAGAACCTCTGGTGGGACTTAAAGAAAGCAGTTGCAGTGCGCAAGCCTAAGAATGTGACTGAACTGGAGGCCTTTGCCCATGAAGAATGGGCGAAGATACCCGTAGATCGCTGCAAGACACTTGTGTCAAGCTATGCTTCACGTTTAAAAGCTTTTATAACTGTAAAAGGATGCTGTACTAAGTACTAAGATTGAATGTTCACTTGGGGGTTGAATAAAACTGTTGCTGTGAGCACAGAAAAGACATTTGTGGTTATTTCATTAAACTGTTATGTTATATTTGTCTGACCTACAAGTGCCTCTTTAATGTAAATGTAAGCAAGGTGACTGAATGATCAAAAGCAATGTCAAACTGGCCAAAACACTCAATTTCAGTGGGGGTTGAATAATTTTGGTCACAACTGTAGCTGATCATTGCACCCAAGAGTAGACAAGACTAGCTTAGATGCCAAACTGGAACTCTTTATTGAACAGAAAACACAGGTTTTTATACAATCCAGAAATAGGGGCAGTGCCCACACATAATAAAACAAATATTACACATCGAGATAAAAATCCCAGTAGGTAAGCGTTTGATCACAAAAGTACACTCAGCAGCTAACAGTGATCTAATTAACAGTAAGCTAATCAACAGCCAGATATTCAGACAATGCTTTGTTCAATCAGGGAGCCCACCGCAGACAGCCCTGCAACAAATCCAACCTTGAATACACAAAGTCCATTACACATGCTGTCTTTCAGGTGTTTGCTTTCTCTTATATAATCTGTCTATCCTAAAAAAAAAACTCATACAATATTTCAACAGTCTGATAAGTGTAATTAGTTTATCTTCAAAGATTTCTTGAGAGAGACTACTGATAAATATTTATGTCCCAAATAGAGGAGCTTCTCCAACCCAGTCCTCATGAGGGCCACCATATTTCCTCTGACCAGTAACCTGTACAAGATCAGTATTACATCTTTCCTTCCACTGCAGAAGGCAGAGAATTAATCTAAGCCTCCCTCTCAGTGTTCATCACTTTGTTGTCCATCATTAGAGAATGATCTGCTCTCTCCATGGGCCATAATCAGTGGGTAGAAGGCTAGCCCCTAGTCCCCACCAAAAACCCCTGTCCCACCAGGTTTTCAAAATTAAAGTCATGTTCAAGTTTTATCAAGCTGTTTTAACTTTTTAAATATAAAACTTGATATATTGCTTGTTATGGGTATTTTTACTGTTGAGCTATCCTCTTGAGGTTCGCTGTGTTTCTGGGTCCCCCTAAGCTTTGCACATCCAGAAGCATTTTTCCTACACTTGCATCCACAGTCAGTAAAGCTTGTTTTTTGTTATTTTATTAGGAAAAATAACTGACGATCTCCCAGGACATGGATTAAGCACAGCGCCGTTTTTTTAAAGCTTGCTACATACTGTACGTATGGCAGTCTCTCCCCTTGTGAATCCCTGGGTGTGCTGATGTACTTACTCTGTTCTCCTTGCTCCTGCTGCTCCCAGGCAAGAATCCTGTTCAAATCATAATGCTGAATGGATCTTGCTAAGCCAGCCCAAACTTTGATAAATATATAAAGTGTCACAGCCAAAACTACCTAACAATCTAAATGTAAAAGTGAAAAAAATCAATTCACATCCAAAATATGTGATGCCAGAATACGGGATCACGGATACTGCTCATGAAAATCATACCGTGCTGTAGCTCCACATACAGATTTAATGCAGTAGTAAATGCTTAAAAAAAAGCAAATTACACTGCCCTGCAAGTTAATGTTATGAGGTGCTAATATGCATCGCATACTAGCATATTATAGAAGACTTATCTTAAAATGAAGCTCTCCAGTGCCATGCTGTCACTGCTGCCAAGGCTTCCATCTTCTCCTGGTTTTCCTTCTGGATTTGTGGGCTCCACCGTTTTAACTAGCTGCCGACCGCAGATAGCCGAATGACGGCTGCACTGCGGCCGGCCAGTTCTGGGTGGACGTCATATGACGTCCTCCCAGAACGCACTCTCCTGCGCTCCCCAGGGGGCGCGCACCCGGCGATCTCCGTGATTGCTGTGTCCGACACAGCTGATCACGTGATGTGGTAAAAGGCCAATCACAGCGGCCTTTTACCACGTGATCAGCGGTGTCCAATGACACGCTGATCAGAGGGAAATGCAAGTGCCGGTTCTCGGCTGCACTTTCCTCACGCTGTCAGATCGTGAGGAAAGTACTGCCGAGAACCGGCAGTTGTCAGAGCGGGGATCGGCACCGATCATCAGGGCTCTGATGATCAGTGCCCTGATGATCGGTGCCCAGCAGTGCCACCCGCAAGTTCCGCCCAGCAGTGCGCCCACTAGCTCCGCCCACCCGTGCCCAGCAGTGCACCCACCTGTGCCCAGCAGTGCACCCACCTATGCCACTCTGCAGTGCCACCTACCCGTGCCCAGAAGTGCCACCTACCTGTGCCCAGCAGTGCCACCCACATCTGTGCCCACCCACCTGTGCCCACCAGTGCCACCCACCTGTGCCCACCCACCAGTGCTGCCCACCAGTGCCACCCACCAGTGCAGCCCAGCAGTGCTGCCAGTCAGTGCCACCAGTCAGTGCCCAGGGGTTGTGCCAGTCAGTGCCGTCAGTCAGTGCCCACCAGTGATGCCAGTCAGTGCCGTCTATCAGTACCCATAATCAGTGTCACCTATCAGTGCCGCCTATCAGTGTTGCATATTAGTGCCGCCTATCCGTGACCCCTAATTAGTGCTGTCTATCAGTGCCGCCTATCCGCGCCACCTCATTAGTACTGCCTATCAGTGCCCTTTAGTGCTGCCTATCAGTGCCCATCAGTGCCGCCTATCAGTGCTGCCTCATCAACGCACATCAGTGAAGGAGAAAAAATACCTGTTTGAAAAATTTTATAAAAGAAAGAAACTTTTTTTTTTTTTTCTAATTTTTTGCACTTTTTTTATTTATAGCGCAAAAAGTAAAGCGCCCAGTGGCGATTAAATACCACCAAAAGAAATCTCTATTTGAGAGAAAAAAATGATCAAAATTTCATATGGGTACAATGTTGCATGACCGCGCAATTGTCAATCAAAGTGCGGCAGCGCTGAAAGCTGAAAATTGGCCTGGTAAATAAGGGGGGTATAAGTGCCTGGTAGGCAAGTGGTTAAATGACTGAACCATGATGACGTCAATCTTGAGCATGCACATGGGAGTCACGGTTGAAGTACAGCACTTTCAATAGATGGCACACTCAAGTATACAGTCCATTCAGAGAGCAGTGCGCAGTGATGTCACCAGCTGGAAAACATTCAAAAATCTCCTACACAATGCACATATAGGAGGTGTTATAGTTATTTCTGGTTGAAAAAAATAAACACACACAAAGAAAACCTCCATATACATATACATCTACCTGTAAGTAAAAGTAACAAAGCAGAGTTATTACCGCTTTAAGGCATCTTCCAAGCATGTAATTTAAAGAAGTTTTCCAGTCTCCTCTGAAAAAAATAAAACACAGCAGCTACAAAAACTGTAGCTGCAGAATTTTTTTAATAAACAGCCACTCACCTGTCCCATGATCCAATGGTGTGTTCACCCCAACTGGGTTTATTAGTTATTTATTACAGGTACTCATATACAGCCTTCAATTTACACAGCGCTTATATATACACACATATACATATATACAATATATATATAGTATTAGTGCATTCACATCAGTCTCTAACCCTCAAAGAGTGTACATTCACATCAGTCTCTAGCCCTCAACGATCGTACAATCTAAGGTCCCTAACTCACACTCATACATACTATGGCCAGTTTAGACAGAAACCGATTGACCTACCAGTATGTCTTTTGAATGTTGGAAGAAACCAGGGTATCCAGAGGAAACCCACGCAGGCACAGGCAGAATGTGCAAACTCAGGTGGTGCCATGGTTGGGATTCGAACCAATGTCCCTAGCCACTGTGCTGCCCCCAATGCTGGCATCTTAAGTGTGGGCACCCAGCTGAGATGGCTTGCAGTTGCACAGCTGGGTGCCCACTGAGCATGCGCAAGCAGCGCTGTGCATTGTGTTTGGTCCTGCAATCTTCTGAGACCTGTCACATGTCCCAGAAGACTGCAGGGAGGGAGGAGAACTTCCACTTCCGGTCACCTAGGCAGTTGGAGCTGAAGTGGGAGCGAGTACCTGTCAAAATCGGGTACCCGCTCCACCCCCCCCTCCCCAAAGGTGTCAATTCTTCACCTGAAGCGGGGGGCCAGTCCTTAAAGCATAAAATTCCTCTTTTGGGTGGAGATCCGCTTTAAGGATACTTTTTTTCATTACTCATTAAAAAGGAACCGCTCTCAAAAACCTTCTGCTTTGTTAAAAGTTCCCTGGCAGTGACCATCCACCATGTCCTTTTTTGACAATAACTTAACAAAATTTTAAATCAAGATTCATCCCCCCAAAGCCTTCAATTTTTTTGTCCAAAATGTATTCTGCTAAATGTCTTTTGGTAATAAAAAAATACCAATAAGCGTATATTAAAATTGGTTTGTGCAAACGTTATAACGCCTACAAACTATGGTATATATATTTGAAAATTGATCAATCCTAATGTATAGCAATCACATGATCCACAGTCTGCAGTTGCTCAAAGCAGCTGGGTACCAGAAACCACTATCCACTGTGTCCAGTGGATACAGAGGTCGTGGGAGCGGTGCATTGCATGCCTCAGGCAGGATGACGTACATGTATGTGATCCAGCCTGCCCATGTACTGTACTGTGTACTGTAAATGTAATGTGGGCGGACGACAATTGTTTAAAGGAGAAGTGCGGGAAAAATACATACTCACCTATATGGCTGCATCATCGATCTGATGTTGCAGCTATCCCCTGCCTGCTCTAAGGCAAAGAGCTGAGTGACCACATGACCTCTGATCACACAGTTCCCGGTCTTTACTGACCAGAGAGCAGTGACTGTCAAGTCACTGGCTCTCACCTCTGACCCTCCAGTGCTCACTGGAGAGCTGGGCTGTGAAGCTCACTAGAGCAGCTTTCTCAGGCTCTCAGCAGTGTGCTGAGAGACTGAGCCAGCTGCTTGTCAGGCATCTGGGTGGATCCAGACTTTGGGTGATAAAAATGAATCCACGCTAGGGGGAAAATCAACTTTATACATGTAGCTTCTACCACTAAATCCCGACACCACATAAAGTTTATACAATAAGGAGTGTAGCACTATAATTATATACAAACAAATACAAATCAAAACAAATATAGCATGTATTTCTGTATCTATATGCACTAAATATGCTTAGAAACAAAAATTCTAAATTGTGCATAAAAAGTCCATTCAAAGCAAACCAAAAGTAAAATGTCCATGTGACCAAATATCCACTTGGCCCAATCTTCTATGTACTTCTTTAGTACCTGTTAAATGTAAAGCAAAATGTATATACTGTGAAAAATATATTAGCCCCTTATACTGTACACAGGTAGAGAAACCTCACACAGAATCGTTGCAGGAAAGATTGCTTGTCTATTGAGAATGTTATGGCTTTAGTACAACTTAGAGATAGGAATTAGATCACATGTCACTTGGCTGGACAATACACTTCTATGTCTTAGTTAGTGTTGGGCTACATGTTCGACTCGAACAATGGGTGTTTGTTGAACACATAAGCATCACGGGAGTTCGGCGGACTATTTGCCTGCCGTGCCCCGCAATGCACTGCCCTCTCACAATGCATTGTGATTGGCCAAAGCATTGCACCTGATCTGCTTTGGCCAATCATAGCTGAATTCCCTGTGAGAGATATGATTGGCCAAAGTCCCGGCGACTTCGGCCAATTATAGCTCACAGGCTAAGTCCACGCCCCACACTATATAAGGCTGCTTACACAGCAGCCTCGTGTAGTGTGTTGATGGAGTTAGTTAGGTAAGGTTTGTTAGTGGTGTGATAGTAGTCAGTGTAGTGTTCTGGAGCAGTATAGTGGTGCCAGTGTTGTTTTTACAGCACTTCTGTATCACCGCTGTTCCCATTTTTTTTTCCCCCTCTCTTTTTTTTTTTAGCATCAGGTTCTGTTGATGCATATTTTTTTTTTTTTTACTAAGTTTCTTTAAACATATACAACAAATAAAATACAGCATGTACCATGGATTGTAAAAGTATACAGACCAACAAAACAGCAACTTCCTCTTGCAGAGGAAGCCTTCAGGTTTCATATGAAAACAGTGTAACAGAAATTACTCAGACAGTTTCCCAGTATAGGAGAAATACATGCCACTTTCTTGTGAGTAACATAAAATGATTAAGTCCTCTACACACAGAACAACTCCAATTATCCAGTTAATTCTTAGAAAAGAAAAGAGCTATTTATGTATCCAGCTCCACACAGGTGTCAAATAGTTCTGTCCATGGGCCCCATATTTGGTCAAATTTGTGAGGACATCCCCTGGACTCATAGGTCAATTTATAGATTGGTAGTACTTGGTTAATCAGATTTTTCCATAGATCAACAGACATGACCTCAGAGTGAACCCATTGTAGTACCACAGTTTTCCTAGCATAAAATAACAGATAAGAAATTGTTTCTAATAGGAGCTTAGCGTAGGGGTGTATAATAAGTTCTGTGAAAGATACGCAATTGAATTAATCTGTCCCTTCCAGAAATAGTATTAGTGAAATAATATGAAGCACTTCATCCCAGTTATCATCTGGGAGGTCTGGGATATCCGGTGTCCAACAGGTTTGTAGGAAATGTAAATGAGTAGGATTACTCAGTAGTGAAGTACCATAATAGAAAGAGATAAGCTTACAGTGATCAGAACTTAATGCTGTTTCCAGTAGTGAGTTGTGAAATTGAACTTCCCCAAGTCCTGAGATGTGGCTGCATGTCGTAATTGAAGTTACCTAAAAAAAACAGGTATCTGGGACCTGAAATTCTAGTTGTAAATGGGAGAGTGACTTAAATGTATCACCATTGTACAGATGATGTACATATTTCAAACTCTTCTGCGCCCACAGGTGTGCATCCTGTAGTGTGAGGAATTAAGGAAAGGTAGGGTTAAACAAAATTAAATGATTAGGTGAGAAAAAGCGGGAGGTATCAGGCAATATAGAAGCACATTGGCAATATATACTTTAAGCGATACTTTCAACGGATCCATCCTATCCCCAGATAATCATTTATAGATTAAATTTGTCAGTGTTTCATAGGAAGAAACAAGGCTGCCTCTTTAACCGTAGCTGCATTATTTAATTGCTGGAAAAACCACCAGTGTCTATAGACAAGCTAACAGGCAAAATAATATGAACATAAATTCGGTAACACTAAAACCCCCTTGAGAAGTTGGTAATTGAAACGTGGTTAAGGAAATCCTTGGGGCCTGGGGTACCAAAGGAAGGAGGAAAGAAGAGACTTTACCTCCGTGAAAAAATGTTTAGGGATGTATACAGGACTACTGGATAAAATATATAAAAATTTGGCTAGAAATACCATTTTGAAAAGATTTATCCTCCCTAAAGTTAAAAGGTAGTGTTTTCGAA